GGATTTTATCTGGGTTCTGAACTTGGATTACGATCGGCGACATCTTTTGGCGGAGCAGCAAAGCTTGCGGCGGAGCAGCAGCAAACCTTATAGCGGTTCTGGAACCGGAGCAACAGCAAACCATATAGCGGTTCTGGACCCGGAGCAGCAGCGCTGCTAGCTATATTTATACTACTGCAACCCTTTCCAAAAAAGTCATTCTGTACATTTAGAGGCCAAGCCCTTTAAGTTGGAACCTCAGTTTTGAAAATCTAATGATCTGCGCAGATCTGTTGCCGTTAAGAAAAGATGTCTTCATGTATTGCATTTATACATAGTACATACATAGTTAGATTTGATCTAACCCTGGTATTTGTGTATTAGGGAGTTATTAGAATCCAGATAGGAGCTTTAAAACTATCAAATTCGAGTATACACAACACTGGAATACTTTATTTGTAACTTTGAAATTTTATTTTTGCCTTAAAAATTAAAAGGGAACAATTACCGATTACTTTCTGCTCAAAAAAATAAAAGGTAAATTTTAACTTTTATTTTTGTCTTAAAAAAATAAAAAGCGTTATATTTGCTCAAAATGATAAAAGACAGATTTTTGTAAGTCATGGTCACAATCTACAATGTGAGATGAGTCTAATGGTACCTTTAAAAAAGCTATAGCATAATTTTTTCACTATGCCTTTTTGATGTTGATTGATTTCAGACTCTGATTCCTATTTGTAAAAGTTGGTATTTGCGCAAATATTTGTGTGGTTTACTTTGTGCATATGCAAGCAAAATATTTTGTGCTATTTGTGCACCTATTAATTTCCGCTGTAGCGTATGTAGTGCATACTTTTAGGCGCAATATTTAACTACTTCCGGCAAGGCGTACCGTCGAGGTTGATGTCTAGACTTAGCTAGAAATGGTGTCTGGACACATAACATTGCAAGTTGATAAAAGCGTTGTAATTGTAATAACAAAAATAGCATTGTCAAGAGACATGTTTATGTTAAATGTTTTATATGGTAAATGTTGTCTTTAGATATGTACGTATGTGTACATATATGCCTTTTATATTTTTTATTTTATAAATGTATTTCCGGAATTTGAAATTGTATTATGACTTTATCAGAACGTCGAACTGAGCCGATTTATACCTGTCTGTCTGTCTGTCCATGTGTGTGTCCCGGCTGAAGAATATATTATATTTTATTGTTCAGATATAACTTTTTGCTATGTAACGCCTCCATCAATGTATTTATTGAAGGCCAACAAATTGTTTCCCCTATTTACTCGACATAAATTAAAACTTAAAAAGTACATAAATTTAGTATAATGTATAGCTCCCAAAGACCTGCTTAAAATTATAATAATCGGTTGAAATAAAAGTTTCTGATGTTCACAAAAAATATGAAGACGGCACTCTTTTTACATTCTTATTAAAAATATACTTTTCTCTACAATAATGCTATATTTCATATATAAATCTCCAACTTTAAATACGTATAAAAATCTATAGCTATAGACAAAAATTTTTTTGGGATTTTTTATGGGAGTTGTAAACTTTTATTATCCTTTGGTTTCATCAAACACGTAAAATTTTGTTACACTGTGAAATTGTGTACTAATGGTGCGACTTTTTTGATACGTTTCTTATTTTGTTAAGAATTGCGTATCAGCATGAAATACGCAGCAAACTGAACTGAGACAACAGCTTATTTTAGCATATTTCCCTCTAATTAAAACGACTACATATGTAGCTGTTCTCAAAATGCTTTTATCCTTTAAAATACCGTGCCCTTTTAGACCAATAGAATGCACCTAAACTTTCCAATAAAATTGAATCCCCTGTATGCATTTGCTCAAGGAAAGTGGAGCCCCGTCGTATTCAGTAACACGTTGCCTGCAGTACATTAAATAGGCTTCAATGTAAAGTTCCGTAGCCTCTACAACCGCGGCGAGCTGTTGGTTGGCATTACTTCCTGTTCTTATACTCTATTACCATATATTACTCTCAAGCTCAATATTACTCAGATGTTCTTATTTTCCTAAAACAAACTCAGTATTCCGTAAATATTTTCGTATTTTTGAAACTTTCTTGAGGCTGCCAAATTTTGAACGGCTTTGTGAATGTTTCCTACTTAAAAACCGATTTTATTACCAAAACTCTGCGCCATTCTTACATTCTTTACCATTATTTGAAGCAGATTCAAAGAATCCCGATACTTTCACGTATTTTCGTATAAAGTATCAATGGTTATTTAATGATGCTGTCGTTGTTCTCAATTTATGTAACTGAGACAGTGATAATAAAGCTGCCACAATTGTTCTTTTTTGGTACAATTTGAAACCAGAAAGTACATTGGCACCACATAAACCCTTTTGGCATAATTTGGAATTGCAGCGCTGTGTATATTTCGATTGGTTTTATATTAACGTTGGTTAAAATATTCTAAATACTTATTTCCTTCTCTGTTTCATACAAACTTCGACTAAATTTGTTTTACATTACAAGATTTGCAATTCCGAATCTGATAAAAACTAAACATAGAAATAGATTACAAGTAAAAGCCCTCGGCTCTTTAATAAAAGCAAAAGATTATATCAAATCTTCTCGAAGTTTTTGTCCTTATACAAAAATACATATGTACATAGTCTTTAAACAAAAATGTGACTTACGATCTCACAGAAAGTGAAATGCCTAATTAATTGTTATCCTATTTTCAATACATATATGTGTATTTTTACAAGATGTTTGTTTAAAAGGCGTTGAATAAGTATATATGTATTTGTTTTAAACGTTCGTTGTTTTTGTGAAAGCGTTTGAAATTTTTTATTGGTACATTTTTGTTTGATTTGGTAATTTTTTTCTGACGTTTGGTACGATTTCGAAAAATTCATTTATCATCACTGAACTGAGATAGCAATTTGTTGTTTACCAAGTTATTTTTAAGTTGCGGGACGTCTTAACCTTTCGCATTAATAATTAAATATTTAAACACAGTATTATTATTATTTGACTTACGATTAGTGCCGTGCATTGCAATTCTGTTGACAAGGTAAACATAACATGCTAGAATTTGTGCAGCAGATTTTGAATGCCTGAAAGTCTTTTTAGAGATTGATATATGAATTTATATAATATTTATTCTATGATGAATATACATTCAAACAGGTTTTTCCCTTAACGGCGAGCTTCTTATGGACGCCCTAGGTGGCGAAACAACCTTTGCAGATGTGACTGCTGAAGGAGTAGGATTTGTACCTGCCTGTACTTTGGGCGTAGGGCAGAAAGCACGATTAATATACGGGCAGGACGTAGATTCCCTAAAGTTTTTTACTACCTGTGGTCTTCAAGAGGGCTATGAACCATTTTGTGTGTAAGTTTCAATAATATTATGTTTCAAGTTGGCTGGGATATTAACTAAGTAATTTTATTAAATTTAACCTAGAAATATGCGTCGCCCGGTTACTCATTGGTATACAAAAGATCAACCCGTCTTTGAAAACACTGAGGAGATGCCAGATTGTAGAATAGATGTTACACGTATACCAGGAGGTGCGGACACACCACCCCATTTAAAAATTTCTCATAATACTTTTGAAACCATGGAGAAGGCTAATTGGGAATTTTTGCGTCTATCTCTCCCTGTCACTTGTATGAGCGAGTTCGTGAGTGAAAATGAAAAGGCTCGAAGATGGGAAGAAATTAAAATACGGCAGTACCGGTTACAACGCGAAGCTCAAGATTTAGCTAACCAACAGCAAACGGCTGCAAATGTGGATCATATGCTTAAGGGTGGTTTTACTATGAGCGATATAAAAAATCTTAATCAAAATTTTGAAGACACAGCAGAAGCGGATGAACATCTGGCACGGAGTCCCGCAAGACCTCCTCGTAAAAACTCCTTGACGCGCAATATTACATTCGAGTCAGACTACTCGAATGATATGAGAGGATCAACAGATATGGCAAACGGCCTCAATGGAATAAATGGAACTGACGAGTTAGTCGACGATAAGAAAAAACGCGGTAGAAGTCCGTTTAAGTTCTTCTCAAAGAAATCACGTGATCAAAGTAGAGATAAAACGAGCGGTCGCAACCAGGAGACATCGCTTGAACGGAGAAATACTGTCGCACACGGCCGCAATGTTATTAATGCACAAATGACTACGAAAACACCAACGTTGCGCTTGAATAACGTAAGTAAAACGATTTTTTGATATGTATTAAAATTAGGAAGACTGTACATAGAGAGTCAAATCTGGGTTCTACCGAATCATAATGCGCACCACTATCCACTATCGACTACAGCGGCCGCCTTTTACGGCCAGTTTTATTTTTTATTTTTTTCTTTATTAAAAACTTTATTGGCGCAGTAACCACCTAAGCGATTTTGGCCGAGTCCAAAGGAGCACGCCAGTCATTTCTCTCCTATCAATCTGTCTTCCCAACTGACTACAATTAGAAATGGAATGGGAAGCTTTCCTCTTCCTCTGCTACCAATATCGTGTCCCGCGTTGAAAACTTTCAGAGCTAGACCGACATGAACTGCTGAATTTTAATTCGTTGCACTATATTTATATCGCCTGCGGTATTCGCCAACACCAACACGCAAAGACCCGTAAAGCTTGCGCAGAATCTTTCTCTCGAAAACTCCAAGAGTCTTTTCATCAGATGTTTTCATTGGCCATGACTCCGCGGGAGTCTGAAACCTCGTTTGGTATCAAATGGCTCGCGGGGTCCTTCCCAATTCTGACGGAGCTGTTTGTGTTGCTCAACGTCATTTTACACATCATCGACTGGGGGCTCTGGTGCGTCTTCTCCACTCCTCCATAATTTAAGTACGTTCTGGACATCGGTCACTAGGTTGCCATGGTTGTTCTTACAGGAGTTCGGTCGAGGTCTTGAAACCTTCCGTAAGTCGCAAAATGGCCATAACTGTGAAAAATAACAAATAAATTTTTGTTTTGAATTTTCAATGTGAGATAATTTTGGATAACGTATAGCACTACCGGATAGTCCATACAAAAATCTATAGAAATTAAAGTTCCCAAGTTTTCCCCCAGTTTCTGTCTGGTTCTCAACTAGTCGAAAAGTTGTCTGTTTAGCACCACAGAGCGTTTGTGGGACATTTGACGTAAAACGGCCTATGTATTTAACGCTGTCGCTGGCACTGGATTGCGCGACACCTGGCGAAAAAAGATGTCGGATTCAATTCCGATACCGAGAACTAGAGATGGGCACGGGCCTAAATTTTCAAGCCCGGCCCGGCGGGCCCCTGCCAAAATCCCGGCCCGTGCCCATCTCTACCGAGAACATCGCAATCCACGAAATATTTTTATATAATGTAAATTTTCACCACCGAGATCTGGATTTTTTTGTCCTTGTTCCTTGTGTGAAACTCTGTATTTTGGTAATATTGAAGTTTTCTTATTTTTTAACAGTTCGATTCATATGGGCAAATCTAAAAAACAGGTAACCTTGGTGTTATTTAGCTTTATTTTCACTGTTGTAAACTATCCCACTGGGAAAATAGGAAAGCACCTTTCGAGGTAAGCCATGTTTTCTTTCAGTTTTTAGTACCAAAATTGTCATCATGGCCAATGTCCCTTACTTTAATAAAGACGTGGCCGCCTTATGTGATTACGAATTTAGAATGTACATTTGGTATCAGACATACTTCTGAGCCGCTTTACAAAGTAAGTTACGTGTAATGCAGAGCAGTCGCTCGGAGTAGTTCGCTGCTTGGAAATAACTTCGGCTGCACGTTATTTTGCAACTGACAACGTAATGTGTCGTCGGAGGTGTTCATTTTGCGGTTTACTAGTAGATGGCATTGGCCATGATGACAATTTTGGTACTAAAAACTGAAAGAAAACATGGCTTACATCGTAAGGTGCTTTCCTATTTTCCCAGTGGGATAGTTTACAACAGTGAAAATAAAGCTAAATAACACCAAGGTTACCTGGTTTTTAGATTTGCCCATATGAATCGAACTATTAAAAAAATAAGAAAACTTCAATATTACCAAAATGCAGAGTTTCACACAAGGAACAAAAAAATCCAGATCTCGGTGGCGAAAATTTACATTATATAAAACTATTTCGTGCATTGCGTTATTTTGCAACTGACAACGTTATGTGTCGTCGGAGGTGTTCATTTTGCGCTTTACTAATAGATGACATTGGCCATGATGACAATTTTGGTACTAAAAACTGAAAGAAAACATGGCTTACCTCGTAAGGTTCTTACCTATTTTCCCAGTGGGATATGAAGCTGTTTGCTTTTGGATATAATTCGTTGACGTATACTTGAAGCATCAAAAAAAATTTGGATCAATTTGCTGCATATATTTTGAATTACAGGTGTTTAAATTTAAAAAAAAATAATGAAAACAAGTGAATTTTTTATGCAATTTTTTCAGAGGCACAAAATTAATTATGTCATAACTTTTGAAGCACACTTTATTCTGATTTGAAATTTAATTGGCATTTAGCACTTATGTGTATACTTCATATGTAGTAGGTAAGAAAAGTGAGCATTAAAAAATAACGAAATGGCAAGTAACTTAAAGTCTGTAACTCCACATTTCAAAATTTTCAAAATTTCCGGTTTATCGCGTATAGTTTTTGAAGCGTTTAATTTTAAGAACTTTTTAAGTATGTATTGTATTCTACAAACAATTACGAATAATTTGATACCTTAGCAAGAGGTGTGCTTTCAGAATAAACCAACTTTTAAACATAAAATATTCTGCGATCTTGAGCGTAATTTTTATTCCAAAAATATCTTAATTGAAGGCACATTTGGAAAATATGTCGAAACGATCTAAATATTTTTATAACTACTTGTCCTCATAACGTTGCATATACCTGTAAAATGCTTCAAAAAAATCTACTCTAGAAGTGTGTAAAAACTCCGATTTAGTACTTTTAATTATACTCCTTCTTGTAGTGAGAATATTTCGAGCGTGGTATCAAATCAAATTTTTTTCGACAAAGGTTCTGATAGTTGCTTTTACTTAATTGGAGCCTTCTTAATTCAATGGCGTCCCCAGTTTTGCCCCATTGTCTCCACTTTTGGAGATAGCGGTACTTGAAACCTTGTGTAAATTTGAACTATTTTATAAAAAAACTCCCCCAGTTTTGGAGATATTTTACTAAAATTTGGCACACGCTTGTATTTTAATATTTCCTTCACCATCTCATAAAATCATCGAAATCGGTTCAGTCTAAAATCTAGCTCCCATACAACTGATTGTCCAGAGACTTTGTTTTGCGTTATAACTCCTCCAATTAAGCAGGTAAACATTTTGTATAGGTTCACTTTAATATACAATTTATTTTTCAGATATAAAGTTAGAGTTATAACGCAAAAACACATATCTGAGTTATCAGTTGTATTGGAGCTATACGTTAAAGTGCACCCATTTCGATAATTTTAAGGAATAATTAAGGTAATATTAAAGAACCGTTATGTGCAAAATTTTAGTGAAATAACTTCAGAACTGAGAGTTATAAAATAGTTAATATTTAATCAAAATTTCAAACACCGTTATCTCGAAAACCGGAGCCAATCTGGTAAAACGGGGGATGCCAATGAACGTCCCAATTAAGTGAGTTCATTTTCAAAATCTTTGCTCAAAATTTACAACTTGAACAACGTAATTTGAACCCAGCTTATTCTTTTCTTTTTTTCTATTCCATGTTTATTCCTCGTCTAACTTTTGAAGCACTTGATTAAAATTAATTACACTTATATTAATCGATTTATTAAGAGAATACGAATAAAATTATATATAAAACATAGGTACGCTCTACAGTGGCCTTTTTGGTCGATTTTCAAAAACCGAAAGTTTTCGCACGAAAAAGATGAGGTTGGCAAGGAAAATAAATATGAAATTTGTTTTTTCCGCATCCGGAAATTCCGAGTGGTTCCGGGTTGATCATTTTGATTTTTTAATTGGAAATATGTTGAAATTGAAACTATTATTTTAAATTTTCAGCTTTTACGACCACGAAACCCATCTTTTTATTCCTGAACTGTTTTTTATTGAAAACTGAATACATTTACCTTTTTAAAGTCCTCAAAAAGTCTGACATTGATTGAAAAACCATGGTACACGATAATATTAAAGCTGAGAAAAATATGAAATCATCACTTATATCAATATATCATTTAATGTCTAATAATAATAATATTTAATATCATTTTAAATAAAGCATAATGTAGAATTTTTCTAATATATACTTAAAAAAAGAAATGCAAAATAAAAGAAATTGGTGTGATTTCGACATTTTTGGTCGAAAAAGCTCAACCCGGAACCTCTGGGAATCACCTAAAGGCTTTTAAACTAATTACGTATTTATTTATATCCCCAACCTCACATTATTCTGTGCGAAAACTTTTGGATTCATGCATTTCAAATTTTTCATACAACAAAAAGGTCACTCTAGTGTGCTCACAAATTTAAATATTAAACTTTTTTTTGGAGAGTGTACCTATTTATTAGATTTGCCCATATGTATGTATAAAGACCGCAGCGGCAAGCTGCAAATTGGTTTTTCTCTTTAAAACCCCTTTTATAATGTAACTGGCAGTGATTTGTATTGATATTTAATAAAAGTAATCCTTAGCAACGATTACAGTAATCCTTATAACAAAAAAGGCGCGATTACAATTAAAGTAATCATTCATCGAACGAGCTTGGATTACGATTACAGTAATCGTAATTTTAACTTTTTAAAAATCACGATTACTGTAATCGTAATCTGACTTCGTTCGATGAAGGATTACTTTAATTGTAACCTTGTTCTTTAGATTTTTAGGATTACTGCAATTCTAATCATTTAGTAATCGTAATCCTTATCGCCCAGCTCTGGATACTATCCCAAAGCATGGAAATTATCTCCAAACTTAATGATCGCTAAACTTGGGAAGGATGCGAACGAAGTTAATTCGTATAGACCAATTACCAGGGCGTGAATCACGTAACTTTGAAACGATTGTCGTTCAAACGATACTGACCAAGCGGTCTCGTCAAACACTGATTCATGCATTTTTTTGCTGTTACGTGAAGCAAAACTGGAGTTGAGTGGACGATATCGCACAAACGATCGAACAATTTTTGGTTTTCATGAAACAAGACAATCTCAGCACGATATCGTCCAGACGATTGCCGTCATACTTGGTTTATGCT